TGCTCAAAGATTTCCACTAAAAATTTTTTTTAAAAGATAAATTTGCAAAACACTGAGGTATGTGGCAGTGAGTCCAGAAATCATGTCATTTAGCGTCTGTCCTTACTCAGCCTCTTATTCATGTCAGTGATAAACACTCAGCACTCCCCTTGTCACCCAGAATCCTTTGTGTCTGAGCATCTCTGTCACATACTGAACCAATAAATCTAATAAACGTATCCTAACTACACAGTATATTCCAGAATATGCTTATCTTAAAACAAGGCCATGGGAGACAGCAAATGCTTAGTCAAAAAGAATGACTGATCAAATTGCATGCACCAGTAGGGAAAATGTTTGAAAGACAAAACCTTCTCAGACAGTTTTTCAGATTTTCACACATGATCCCACTGGCTAGTAAACTGGCTCTCTTCAAAATAGAGAAAAGACTGTTCAGTTTTAATTGGGAGAATAAATGGTTTAAATTGGTAATAAAAATAACGCAAGAACAAAATTTTAATTGAACACCACAATCACTGAACAAAATCTTCAATGCTCAAATACAAAACTAAACTAAAATTAAAATAATAAAATCTTGCAGGAAGGCTTTATGAGTCTTCCCTAAACACGTACTCACATTACCAAGATTGGTTTTTATCAGATTAGCTAATTGTTTGGTGTAATAGATGTGAGCCAAAAGGCAAATAAGCTTCTCTGTTTATACATCAGTGAGACCAGGCCAGCCTTAGGAAGTCTGGATAATAAATAGGAGGTAGGCTGGGGAACGAAAGCTGGTGACTTTGGGGACCCATCCTACCTGCTAATGGTTTTGTTTTGTCTAATTCATATTTTCAAGACCATTTCCAAGACTGTGTACAATTAAAATGTTGGATACTTACAAATGGCAATTGAGGTTTCTACATTTCTCTGGATATATCCAAGGAATTGGCAACCTCCAGTAGGCAATTCCAGGTAACATGAGACCAGGGGAATGAATAAGCTCACAAGAGGCTAGCAGACAGAATCTTGATTTTTGTCTTGGGACTGATCACACCTGAGAATTTCCAGTGCAAAACAAGAAGCTGCTATTCTGGGACTGGAGTGGACAAGAAAATATGAAGGCACTAAACTTTAGTAACTAAAGTGTTAAACAGATTGCAGATGCTTCCATAAGACAAAGATTAGTATTTCAAAGAGAGCACAGAAGGGACCAATATCTGTTCCTGTTATTGTCATGAAACTGCAGAAAGAAAAGTTTCCTTTGCTCTAGCTTCCCTACCACAAGCAAGGTTATTTCTAACAACACAAAACAAGAAAACAAACAAAACCAGACCACATCAAAACTGGCAAAGGGAAGTCAAGCCTGTTTGCTGGCCTCACTTTATGTTACAGTTACAGCAAAGGAAAGATTTATCCTGGAGACTTACCATTTATGTGCCTTATATACTCACAAAATTTGAAATGTTCTTTGCTTTTGAGAAGAGAGAGACCTGCAATTCCATTTACTAAGTCAACTCTTAAAAATATTTCTTTATTGAAACTTGGTCCTAAACCTAGGTTCACAGTACATGATGAGGGTCCAAGGAAGACTTATTTAACCTACATTAAATCTTCATAATGCATTAATGAGTCTTTTAAAGGGATAATTTTAATTCCCCAATCTTCGACCATAAAGACTATATAGTGCTAATCTGCCTTGCCCTTTCAATTAAACTTGTTAAGGGCTTTCTATTTAGTCAGCACCCTGAATGGGCCATTAAAATTCTTGTTCGGTAAGAGTTGTGCTCAGTGCTCTGTTGTTTTAAATTCCATTAAATCCAAATGGTCTTTATCGCTCCATGACCACTGTGACTTCAATCAGCCAATTTAATTACTTTACACAATTGTCAGCAGAAGCAGCAAAGAACAACAGGAAGCCGTGTGACGTTATCAGATGTAAGTCTACCTTTCCCTTGTTTAATCTAGAGTTGTCAATAATGGTGATGTGCACCTACTTCCTTTCTTTCAGGAGGCTTTTGACCTTCCCTTTCCTGCTAAGATTTAGACTTGAAGATTTATTCTGAGCACTCCTAATACTAAGATGAGTGGACTACAAAATGAAAGCCCTTAGAAAATAAAAGCCCACCGCTCAGATGAAAAACATGCAACAATTACATCCCAACATATGCTACCATGATAGCAAAAAGATCTGAGTACCTCAAGTAGCATGCATGCAGTAGTATGCAAATACATTTGAAAGGTAGTAGACTATATTTGACGCATTGTGTAAAAGTGGGTATTTATTTTTTATTTGCAGTAGTAGACTTAGATATAGTGCCCCAAAACTTATTTCTTGAGAAATGTATAGAACTGAGGCTACAGGAACAGAGTAAATCCTAAATACAGCAATTCATTTACCTATGTAAATGTGAGATTTGTACCACAAATGAGAAAACCATGTTCTTTGTCAGAAATTATGAGAACTTAATATCATAAAAGATCACATCATCTTATCACAGACAATACTTTACATAATCTGGGGGATAGCTTTAAAAGATTCTGAAAACCTTGGATCTTTACTCATCTGTACCAATGGTTCTGAACCTGTTGGTTGAGACCCCTCTGGCAAACATCTATCCTTAAAAATATCACAATCCACAATAGTAGCAGAATTACAATTATGAAGTAGCAACGGAAATAATTTTATGGTTGGGGGTCACCACACACAAAGAACTGTATTAAAGGGTTGCACCATTAGAGAGGTTGAGAAGAAGCATCAGTCTATAGTGTGTTTCCCCTTTGTATGGAAGCAATTGACATTAACTTTCCTAGCAGAATAAATGTTGAAACAGTGTCATTTGAGAGTATGGGGAATGAACACACTTAAGCTGATCACTTAAATTGAACCAAAACGCCAAACTTTTCTGAAGAAATGTCCATTGATATATAAACTTGTTCACTTCTTAACAACAACCTTACAAAGCCAGAAAACAGATTGGGTTCCATGTGACTGGGTGGAGAGCTATTTCTAGAGGACGGAAAGATCATTTTTCAAAGTCATTTTCTGAAATGATCGTACCTCCCTTGATGGATCATACCAAGTTATTCTTTGAGGCTTTAAAACTAAGCTAGAACAGATCAGGGGGAGGGGAGGATCTTTATAAAAAGTCGTCCTTGTTGTTGGTGATTCTTGCAAAGATTTCCCTCTCCTGCCAGACAGAGCTCAGATGAGCAAATTTTATCTTTTGCAGAGATACTGGCTGCTATCACTCCCATCTCCTCTCTCAAGAGTCAGTTTTCAAGCTCCCAGACATAAGGCCACTCCTCCTTCCCTCCCACTTTACCTCCCAAAGGAAGAAAAAATCTCTTTCAAAGAACTTGTGGAAAGTGGCAGCTTCCCAGCTCTCAGTCACTGAACTCAGTTCCTCGATGGTGAAATATATCTGTCACAAAGCACTGTTTCTGGGATCACATGAGATTTTCCATAAGAACCGATTTTCTCCCTTCCGCAGTGTGGGTTTTATCTAGTGGGCTGCTCCTGACTGAGCTGGCCTCCTGCCTTCTCCCAGGGTTTAGTGCACAAGGTATACAAAGGGGAAGCAGTAGCAGACTGAGGTATAGTGCCCAGAAAAATCCCAGCGCATCTGAGAAGGAAGACCTAAGCTCTAAAACTTTTGAACAAAAGCACTCTGCTAACTGGCTTAAGGAAAAAATTACAAGGTCCAAACAAAATGTAGTTAAAAAGTGACAGAGCATTTGCTCAGCGCAATGAAAAGAAGGTCTTAGTGATGCTGTTCAGTTTCAGAGTTTTGGTTGAGGTCTGTGCTCCCCGTGTCCTAAATTGCGATTGAGATTAAGATGTTGAATAATAACCGGACCTCAAGATGAGAGAGAGAGAGAGAGAGAGAGAGAGAGAGAGAGAGAGAGAGAGAGAGAGAGAGAGAGGAGCTTTTGCCCTGTTGACTCTTTCCTTAGGGAACTTCCCCTAAGGAGTTCTGCTCTTACTAAAAATCCCAGTTGGTCAGCCTGAGCAGCCAAGCATTTCCACCACTTCACTTCCTTTAAGCAAACCTCAGAACCAGGGAACACACTGGAACCCCACGTTTAGATTTTCCTTCAAGAGAAAAAGAAGCCCAGATTCCTAGGAAAGCTATAAATCCTTCTCAAATGTGACTATCTGGGGGTCTTTTATCCATGTCAGAGCGAAACAAAGATGCACTTAGACCCACACATTCAACACCCCTCCTCCCTCTGCCTCCAGTTACTAGGTTCCTTATTTATTAGGTCCGGACTCTGTGCGGGGGTGGGGCGCGCGGGGTGGAGGGGGGAACGGAAAGCTGTGAAAGAACTCAGCAAGTTAAAAAACAAAACAAACAAGAAGCCTGTCATGATTGCACTATTTCCCTGGGCGCTGAGTGACATCTTACCGTTATTAATAAAGCCTGAAATTATACAACATTATTTCTTAAAGCTCTGCATATCAGAAAGACCATCGAGGAGGTAAAAAAAAAAAAAAGATTAAATTGACCAATAAGCTTCTCTTACAAAAGAAACCAAAAGGGCTGTTGCCTTCTGGTTGCAAGTGAGGACCTAGGCAGGTCCCGGCAGAAGCGGACACACGCAACTCAGGGAAGAGTTACCAGACATTAACTCTTCCGTAGTACAAGCTATACATTCGCCAACCCTAGCTCTAGCTTTGGTTCAAATCGCGGCACCCAGACAGCTGGAAGGTTCCCGGGGAGACCAAAGCAGCCTAGGCTGGCCGTGCCCCATCACTGCTATACCCGTGGCGGGCTACGGTGAGGCGATACGTCCGTATCTGAGTAGTATCACACACCGGAACCTCCTTCACCCTCCGGGGAACCAAAATAAAATGAAGATAAATAGAGAGAATAAATGAAAGCAGGGGGCGGTCTTTAAAACCCTGGAGGGAGAGAGTCTGGAAGCAGAAAGCCCACGCCAGGCAGGCAGAAACGACCGCCTGTTTACATCCGGCGCCTCGGAGCCTACACTAGGTGACCGTGAGATGCGGGGAATCTTACCGAATCTTAACACATGTGTGGTTCCTTGCGAATATCCGATCCACAATAAGCAGAGCAGGACTTTAATGGAGCGACTGAAGACTAGATTACTTAGTACTGGGGAAATAATCTTCATGATGTTTCCGTGCCTGCGCGCGCGGCACCCACTTCCCCGATCTAGCGTTAGGCTCCGGGCTTGGATGAGAAGAAGGATACGTGGAGTAGTGGCCGTAGACACAATCACGGCATGGTCACAGAAAGAGGAAGGAGTCTCCGCTTCCCAAACCCATTAGCAGTCGCTGCATGTTCTTCACTCACTGCGCCAAGGAGCAAGCTTCCACTGCAAGGGATGGTGGGACATCCATGTTAGTCCGGGAGCATCCGGGAAAAATCCAGCAAGCACAATGTCCAGCCGCGCGAGTCTGGAAGAGCACAAGAAGAGGAAAATCAAAAGGAAGTCTAGCCCTGCAAGGACTAGGTGTCGAAAGCCAGACACAGTCCCAACACAAAGGGAGCTTTGCTCGCAAGGGTTTCGCCAGGCCTCTTTCCCCTGCACTGCTGCACAGCTTCTGACGTTAGGCCAAGATAAAGTGAGAAAAATTGAGATAGCTGCTTCCTGCCACTGAGCTTCCCAATATATATTATGCAACCATTCTGATAGCCCGCCTTGAGTAGCAAAAAAGGAAGTTTTTTACAGGATTCGATGAAAATTGCTTTGATTTTTACTAAGACCTTACAGAGTGCCTGGTGTATGCAAATAGACTTTGTACAATCAGCTGATTAATTTTAATAATTGGCTAGCTAAGTCAAAGTCACTTTGTCTAGGAGTTATATTTCAAAAATGAAAATGCTCGAAAACAGAAGACTGTGCTGTCAATCTAGCTTGCTGCTAAGCTACAGAAGCCTTATACTTTCACATTTTGAGTAGAAAAGAATACTAGTAGTGGGATGCAATTGGAGAGTTGAATGTGGTCTTTAAAACTTGAGCAGAATGTCTTGATTACTGAAGATAAATTTCCTCAGGTGGATTTTTAGGGGGTAATGAGAGAATCACTTCCCCACACTTTTATCTCACCTAACACAATCTTATACAAGACGATGGTGTTTAAGCTACATTAGCATATTCCAAAGGCTTTGTGCTCACATTTTCTCCTTTTTAAGATTTATTTTTTCCTTAAAAATGAAATATCAAATCAAAGTTTTGTCTAAAAACATCTCATCATTGGCTAGTTGTCTGATGGAAATTTTAAAATGTATTTCCTCTCTTGACTCCCAAGTAGAAATTTATACAATTGAAAACAATAGAAATGCACATTTCTTTTAATATGAAAATATTTTGTTGAAATAGGTAATATACCGCCCAAGGATTACGGTTATCCCCAGATCCACTACTACCATTTCTAGTAGTAGGAGAGATAATGAGGAAAGGGATAACCACACCGTTGGTGACATTATAACCTTATTAGGAAGTGCAAAGGGCAAATTGTTGAACTTGTATTTTACTATTAATCTCTGTTCATTACCAACTTATAAAATTTTACAAGTTCATCAAATTGAAGACTATCTAATTTTAAGAGAGTGGTATGAGTATTATTTAAGTTCTTATATTACTATGGTTATATTTGCTCTAAATAGCCAGAAAACACCACAATGTATTCATTTCATCATAGCGAGGTTTTTACTATATATACTCTTAACATATTATTATAAAATGCTGATTGAAAAAATATACACTTTCAAATGCACTAAGAGACATTGATTTTTTAAAAGATGAAGGCATAACTGCAGTGTCAAAAATAAGTATCATGAAAAGCTAGTTTTGCAGACTATCAGGCAATCCCATCAAACAATTCCACTATTTGAACACTTTGAAAGGAAAACCTACTGCTGAAACCAAGGGTATCTAGCGACTCCTTCAGTCCATGTTTGAAACATCACTTATAAGACATGTTGAATCCCAACATATCCTGTCTTGTATTTGCTATCTCATTTTTTCCCATTCTATTTTTTTATTTTACTTCTTCACTATAGTAGAGATAATAAACGACAGGCAGGGGAAAATACATATTCTTGGTTGTTTTCATTTTCCAATATAATTGATATCTACTACCTGAAAATAGCATGTTCTGTTGTAACTGATCAAATTTCTGTAATTTTTGCAGCATAGCTGGCATTTTATAGAACCAGAGAAAGCATACTACACCACAATTTCTTATTCATGCATTTTTAACATGACAGTATTTGTCATATCACTTGTCATCTGCCTACTTACAACTAGCATTGTCAGTTATTTATGTAGCATCATTGCTGGTTATCTAGTGGGAAAATGAAAGAAAAATCTTGGGTTAAATTTGTACAAAATAAACTTTTAAAAGATTTAATATAAATTTTCCTTCCTACTAAGTTATCTCCAAAGAACCAACTTTGCACATATCTTAAATTGAGTTCATTTATATCCGTTAACTAAGTTCAAAAGCTTTAACTTGACAGATACCAACTCCACCTGTCCAATGGAACTTCTGTGCTACCAGGGACAAACCTTTCTTCAGGACCTTGGACAGCACTTCAGATACATTTATTCTAAGTTATTGAAAATAATAAAATGAACGGATAACATGTCATTTGAAGTGACAGTGTGCATATTTCTATTACAGAGTAAAGTACTTTGAATCGTTGCAGAACATATAGTCAAGAGATCAATTTTGTGAAATATGTTTCATGTGTCTCTCAATGTGAGTCATGTGTTGCTTAACACATCTGAGACACACTAACAGTGTGTCTACTACTACAAAAGCCACTAACATTCACTTGAGACCCTTCAGAATGACTAAAGGACTCATTTTCCCAGAAAAAATATCAGCATGAAAATTTTTTAAGATGCTGAAACATGTTGTCAATATTCAGTGGCATAAAACATTTCTGAAATGTACTATTAGTTATCATTTTTAATTACCCACCTCCAGATTTCCATCTGTTAAGAGGGAAAACAGATTAATAGCATCCTTTCTATTCAGCTTCACTCTTTAGATCAATAGCATCAACTCGTAAATTTACCTTTCAAACACACACACACACACACACACACACACACACTGATCTAGCGCGTTATAGGAGATTTGTATGTACTATATGGATATTTTGAGTTATTGCAAGTATCTTTTCAATACTGACACTATCATCATAGTTCTGAGATTAATAGTTCTTAATCTATATTTTACTGATCATATTTAATAATCTTAAAATTGTCTCAGTTCTATATTTGCTTATTACTTAATAAAAATGAAAAATACTTGACTTAGGTTTTCAGTGATCGTAAAAATGTGTGCTTTGTCCTGTAGATTCATTTGATTTGCAGTTATTTCAACCACATGGCAATTCTTATTGCTAAGAACTAAAGCTCCAAGGGTCCCAAGGTCAAAGCAGAGATGAAAAACCGCAAGCACTCACGTGTATGCTCAAACAGAGTAAAGATATGTCTAGAAGAAAGCCTTAAAATATCAGAGAAGGATAATAAGAACTACCAAGCCTATGGTAAATAATAAAGGAAGGAAATGTATAACGTGTTCATGCAAAGCTTATTCCTACTACAACAACAACAGTGAGAAAGACATTAGCTCCATCTTTCACTGCACTTCTGTATTACCTGACACTAATGACCTCTTCTTCTTGGGCACTATTACTTTAGAAGCAATTTTAGTTTCCTAGTCTCTGGGTGAAAATGAATCTTATTCTAGTTAGCTGCCACCTGCTGGGGCATCAACAAATGTGTAATAATCCTTATAGCAAAACATTTAAAAGACAATTCCTATACTTTGGCTAGAGACAACAAATGTGTATTCTAAAACAATCTTAATTTAAAAACCAGCTCAAAGGTTCTTCAATGCCATACATGCAGTGCATTTAAATTTTCTCACACAGTGAGAGGCTTCTGTTAGCCCTCTCACTGCTGCCCTGCTGTTATGGGACATTTGAGAAACCTCCCTGTATAGTAACACCTAAGGCGATATTCTATGCAAGTGGCCTATTGTGTTGAAGCTGAGCTAAAATAAACAGCCTACTCAATTATGACATTAAAGGGGAAACAGAATGAAGTCTAAGGCAGAGATCAGTTGAAACCACACTGTTGCATACACATCCATGGTTTCTATGTTATTACTTAAGATTCTAAACACATTATCAACTGTTTTATTAACATTCTGCTATGTTGGTGGCTACTGATTATTTTTAATTTTAATTATTATTTAGATGCTGAAAACGTATCTTAATTAAGAAATTGAACCAAAGAGGTTTGTGTCTGTTAAGCTCCTTTTAAAAAATTCAGCATGTGCAATCTTAAGTGGATTTCAATTTAAAAGAAAAAAATAGGTGTTTTACTATTTAGTCATTTTCTGTCTTATCTTCTCCTGTACATTTCAGTTCTTTAACTCCTAAGTTTCTAGGGTCCTTGGGAGTTCATAAGCTTACTTGATTATTGCAGGAGTCTATTCTGCAAAGTTATAAAGTAAGGAGGTAAGAAAAGATCAAATTAAAATACAATTTCACATCTTCCAGCAACTAAACTGCAGACTTATTTAAATGAATTAATCATATTGTGAGATAAAAAAATCAATCTATAAGGTAATTTTGATGAGAGATACTTACAGTCTGAAGATGAAGAAATGATAAAGGGTAATCTGTTCCTTTCGTTACCAGAGGGTAGTTTCTAATAACCTCTAACTCCCAAATCCAAGCACTAGTCCTGTCTCTCTCTCTCTCTCTCTCTCTCTCTCTCTCTCTCTCTCTCTCTCTCTCTCTCTCACACACACACACACACACACACACACACAGCTACACACTGCTACACACACACGCGCGCGCACGCAGACACACACACACGCAGACACACACACCTTTCTATCCCCCTGAAGATAAAAATATGAGGAAATGAGGTTGGTTAAAAGTTCTGAATCTTTATGATCCACCTTGGTGATGCAGTTAGTCCTTACCCCTGTAGGATGCCCTGAGAGATTTTTGTTTTGTTTTGTTTTGTTTTGTTTTTTGTTATTTTCCCCCAGAAGCTTTTAATACTCAGGTCCGCAGGTAAAATAATCTCAACTTTCTCAGCCCAGAGTTATGGATCAGGGCGATAGTGAGACTGGTGGACGAAAGAGGGATGAGGAGTTGTTATGATACAAAGATACACAGCTTTCCTCTGCGTCTCTTCGCCTTGAGCGTGAGTCCCGGTAGCTGAGGAGACATCTGACAGATCCACTTATTCAAATATTTTACGTGGAGAACATCAGCGCTCCAGGAGCCAAATGAGCCACTTGCATCCTTGCCGGGGGACTGGCTGCAGCAAGTGGGACAAAGCCCTCCAAGCAACTGCATCCAGCAGGTGCCTGGAGCGCATCCACTGAGCCGCGCTGCTGTTCGCC